TTCCAATTACCCTCACACCTGCCAGCAGTTTGTGGATCAGAAACTTGTTGAGCCAAATGCTCAGCCTCATGTTTAGATGCACTTGTTGACATGTGGGTGTTTGTTTTGTGTTCGGGGTTTTTCCTTAAGATCCTTTAAAGATGTGTCTTTGCAGACTACTCAAGCAAGAATCTCAAAGCACCTTCACAGACATCCTAACTCCCAGAACCACAGTTCCAGCTTCCACATTAATGACACTGTGATGCTTTGCTCTTGAAGCATGATAAGGAAAGCAAGTTTTGGAAAACTAGAAATCTTACCCACTTTGGACATTTAATGGATCTGCAAAAATCCTAACAAGTTTTACCTCCCAAAACTCTTTACTACCACCCTTATATGCCCTCCAAATCCAAAGAATTAGATCACATTTATTCTGATGTCACAAGAGGTGATGTTAAGTCAGGGATAGACTGGAAGCTTTACCAAGTCAACACTTAATCATAACACTCAACTACTGCTTGCCAGCGCTGTAAAACTGCCAAGACTTGAACTGCTTCACACGATTCACTGCAACAACTAAGCATCACAAAAGCAGCTTCAAGTGTCAAGTTTGCTAAGGAGAAAGGAACATAACACTGAAGGTGCAGCAGGACCAGGTGCACCCAGTGGTTGCTTGCTTCATGGTTCTGCTTTCTAGTTGTTAGGAACTGTGATGGAACACTAAACACAGAGGACTTTTTCTTGTTGGAACATAGCCAAATTACATTGGAAATACTATGTGGAAAACATCTCCAGGTCAGCTGCCAGCATCCACAGCTGAGCCTTTCTTATGAAGGGCTAGCAAGCAAAACTTCTAACAGTAGTAGGAAGAAGGATTTAGTGGGGATTAAATGAAAGCAGACAAAACCAAAGTAAAAGCAATGAGAACACAGTTAACTACCTTGCTGATGACCAAGCAGTAGAAACTGCAAGGTATTTTGCTAGCTGCAGGAGCAGCTAGCAGTATACTGATGTCACAGACTTTTGAGGAATTTGGGGTATAGGAGAATGCTGTCATGGTGATAAATCTCAATTCTTCACCTTCCCTGTGAGAGTATAGGAGCATATTGCCACTGTTGGCACTTGTATTCAACAAAACAAACAACTACCTGCTCACTCATGACCACAGATGGTGGAAGCTGCAGCAGAATGACCACTGGTATGGGAAGGGAAAAGGAGGCAAAGCAACTGGGGCTGGGAGACCAACAAAAGAACCACCAGATCATCACTCTAACCGCCTGCAACTAGAGGATTAGAGGTAAAAGAAACGGACGCAGATTACCAAAGATCCTAAATCACTCCTGTTACGATATAATGTGTGGAATAAAAGTGGCAAGGATAAAATATTGGTAAGCATATCAGCTGCAAAATTCCGGCAGCACCATAGCAATAGCTTCTGCTTGCTGTTTTCTCTCCAAAAATACTCACATTTCTCAGGAATCCAGAAATAGAAAAGCCTGGTGGCTTTTTTCCTCTTCGGGGGGTCTTCTGCACTGCCCCTCCTGCTATCAAGTGTAGCCTATTAGATAAGAGGAATTTGGCAAGGATGGAGTTTGTATAATCTCATCTTGGCTCCCTTTCCCACAGAAGGCTGGACCAGATGATCTTTCGAGGTCCTTTCCAGCCTGGGTTATTCTATGATATCACGTTATTTGGAATGGAGCAGAGATGCACATGAGATGACTTATATTTCATGGTAATTCCACCAAAATTTTCTGTTCTTAATTCTATTCTAAATTTTATTTAACAGAGATGTTTCCACACTCAAGAGTAAAGCTGTAACTAATCACACTTCAATACTAGCACTCACTTTAACTCCTGCTGACACTAGCAAAGATCTTGTTGATGTCCAAAGCAAAATGGCAAAAAAACATTTATTAGTAATTTTAGCAAATTTTTATTAAAAAACTTGAGTAATACGTGCTGTGGATTTTCAGACAGCAGACTTTCATATGGCCAAGTTCTATCTCCTTTAACATCCACATCAATGGTATGATATAAAGTTTGTATCTAGAGGAATTCCTTTGCTTGTAGAGCAGAACCTGGAATCACTAGGTGATTTTTAATTCCTGTTACTCTAAAAAACACTCCAAGAAATATACTGGGATTATAGAACACCTGAAGCCTACAACACACAAGTCAGAAAGGGCACATGCTAAAGCTGGTTTCAAGTAGCAGCTTACAAACAAGCCAGAACAGTGAATCACACTACTCCACGTACGCTTCATTACAGCCTTCATAATGATGACTACAGCTACCGTGTGTAGAAAAATCAAGCGAGCCAATGAGGATCAGATTAAGAAACCCCTATCCATCTCGTCAGAGCCTGCTGGCTAGATGCCAAATGGTACTGGTTACTGCAGCTAATTAGAATTCTGCTGCAGAATTCTTATTCTTATCAGTGATCTCACCCACCTAAATATCAAGTCAAACAGCTTTATGTATGAAGTCTCTGAGATCAAGTATTCTATCATTTGTGACTACAGTGAGAGTGCTGGGGCTCTGCAGACTAGAAGCAGATATGCAAATCCCAGGAATTTGCCTTATTCCCAACATGGAACATGTTGCAAGAAACATGATCCATGGCTGGCTGACACCAAAGGGCTCTTCTACTGAATCAAAAGGGGTTTTCTGCATCTAGTATAGATTTACTCTTCTTTTGGGAATGATAAACTATCAGAAGACAAATGGTTACCTGCTCTCTTCATAGTCTGAGAAGACATTCGTGCAGCGCTCAAAGCATAGGTCTTGTCAGTGATTAACATCATTCAGGAAGACTCAAAAAGATAACTTATTTAACCTCTTGATATAAAGAGAGGCAGGTTTGGTCCTGCCTCTAGTAGAAATGTTGGAACCAATGACTTCATTAAGTATTTGGACCGTTAGAAAGAGGAGCAGTAGGAAAGGAGATTTTCTTTTTGATTACCCAGCAATCTCCAAGATGCTAATTTTACATTTCAATTGGATGAATCAAGCAGAAACGATACTCTCTCAGCAGGCCTGAACTGACAAAAGAGCAGACTAGTCCCTGGGAGGATGACCAAGAGGGTAGAGAAGAATGGAAACCTTGCTCTTTGGAAGGTTTGAACTGGAAGCTAACCTGAAGACAACTCTGAATATGTGAAAATATATGCAAGAGCTCTTCCCAGTGCAACACCCCAGGCTGCATGACTGTCACTGTTACATTTTCTGGAAGCTACCAGATTGGGCCCATCAACTACAGGGAAAGAATCACTGATTAGAAAGTTATCCTATCAAGCATTTAATAACGTAACTGCCATTCATTTATATTCTGAAGTATTCCTTGGATTAAGATACATATAAGCCCATCTCCTATTGTGTATGTGATGAAATTGATTTGACAGCTCACAGTGTTCAAGTTCCTTCAACTTCAAAGGGTGAAATAATGACCCTATTAAAATGTCTTCAGTGAGATGGTTTAACTGGATAAGCTTCATTTAGTAACAGAGGTGATCTAACTAAAGCTTTGTAGAATGCTACCATTATTTCCATGACAACCTGTGTTTCTTTACTGAGGTCAGATCTGCAGCTTAAATTACTAGCTGCAGCTCTGAAAAGGTCACACAGCAATGCAACATACTGTGGCTGAGGATCAGAGCCCCAGTTAATAGAAACTAAGTTTTCAAGCCTGCTGAGGCTGTGCTAATAACTTCCAAACTGCTAAACAGCAGTATCTCATAATCCTTACAGTGGTTTCTTTTAGAAAGAGCAGGAGGAGTGAAGATGGTAAGATTATAAATTGGCTTCCTCAAAGGATACCATGGAAATAACATTTTTGATTGCCAATTTTGCCACTGCATTTAACTTTCAGATACTGCAAAAGACCAAAGGAGTGCAAAACAAAAGTACATTCCCAGAAGGGAATGAGAACAACAGCAATTACAAATAGCAGCTCTCAGACTTGATGACAGGAAAAGATGAAGGAGACAAATGCAGAGAGGTAAGCATTGAGAATATTCTTTCAGCTTCAAAGGATGACTGTTAGGGCTTCATGAAGTAACTTCCTATGATACTGGTGAGCTGTCACAGAAATACAGGTAGCAGTAACTTCTTTCTGACGGTGTCCATCAACAATGCAAGCATACTGTCAGACTAATGCAGTACAAACAAGCAGGAAGAGTCTCCTCTTGCCATGGGGGAGGGTGAGGAGAAGAGAGTTTGTCTCATGCTGGGTTAACCATAGGATGAATAACTGGGACTGCAGTGACATAGACTTTACTCAGGAACCGTACTATAGTCTCCATTTCAAGCATTCAGAAAAGAGACACGTTTGCATTCACTGATGTGAAACTCTCAGCATATTCGCCACCCCAGTTATGTAAAGCCAATTCCTTCCTCAGGTGTTAGAAAAGTAATCTGCAGTCAACGACTTCCTGTGGCTACCTTCTCTCCTCATCCTCAGGCTTTTCCACTAATGCACCTCAAAGTGCTTCAGCAAACCACTGTGCACTTTAGAATGACTCCTCCTTCCTATACAAGACTAGCTAGTCTGGGTAAACTGACACTGGGGGAGGCTAAGTGAGTTCTGAGGCTTCTAGTCTTGAACACTTTGTGGCCTTCTTGCAAGGCCACAGTTCTTCCCATTAAAGTTATTAATCCCAGCGTATCACCAGACAGATTCTGCATCAGCTCTCAGTAGCCTGTTTTAAAAATTCTGCACTTCCAGACTAGTAACTCTGCAGAAGACTGTATCTTACTAACAGCATCAGACAACACTGAAAGTTGTCAGCAGAGTCCGAAGAGCGGACTGTTACACTATTACACCAGCACTGCAAAGGTCCTTTCAAACACACACATTACTTGAAAACTCCACGAGAAGCGCAGTTAGTAGGTATTACAGATAGTAGTAGATATTTGGGTCAAACTATTTAGTCAAACAGTCACACCATTTAGTACAAGGCACAGAGAGACAAATGCATTTCATGGTTCAGGGGCAAAGTCCTGCCTGCACCATTACTCACTTTGTATTGGGAGACTTCCACTCATCTCTCACTGGCTGATCAAGCAGGGACATCATGGAGTAATTATCCAGCATGAGACCATCAGGGTCATCTGTCTGACCTGGGAGTTTCCCAAGAGGAAAGTCTTTCCATCGTACTTCATCTGGGTAAAAACAGTACATAAACAAGAAGTCTGAGCTCCCCAGAGAGATTTTCAAAAAACAAGATCCCCGCAAGTCCACAAATACTGTCTCACGCAACTCAGCCATTCAGCAAAAATGAACAAGCTCAGGTACTCAGCAAAAAACAGTCTGAACTACAGTTCTAACTAATTTTATTTCTAACCTTACTATCTCTTCCAAAGAAAGTCAGTGTAGCATGTGAGACATCAGGGACACATCTGGAATCACATAACATCACACAGTCTACACAGTGCAGCTCATCCAAACCACTGAGACAGTGTCCATTAAAAGAAACCCCACGGTATTCTAGAGCAAGCCTTCATATCTACCTTCCTCTTTTAAGCATACTTTCATTTGAAACATACACATTGACTTACATACGTTAATTTTAAAAAATTACTCTGCATACTTCTGTAAATGGAAAGAGTCATTTGTACACATATGAAGATAAAAACCAGCACTTTTGCATCCAGTAGCTCATTCCTCCAGTGAGACTAAGCATCAGCTTCTTAACGACTCATTGAGATTAGCAGCTGCACAGCAGTAGTGACTAAAGAAGAACTGAAACCACAAAAGTAGAGTAGTGTAAGGCTAGGGAAGCCTAATTAACCAATAAGGCAATTCTGGACAGACAGGTGGGCTGGGATGAGATGGCAAAGAAAAAGAATATGACAATGTCTTGGAAATTCTGCTATTTGTTTTTACAAGCACCTATTGCTGTTTCCTCCCCATGACTTCACATTTGTTAAATATGGCTTCCAATGGGGACCAGAAACTGCACAATGGGAAACCATCACAACTGATAACGTCAGTGTGTCCATTCCTTTATATTGTGATGCCAAAATTTCAAAGGCAGCTCCCAATAGGGAAATCCCCCTTTAAATTTCATTCTTATTTCACATCTAACTAAATGAAAGATACAAATTGCTATGTGTCATTGTTTTGACAGTAAGATTTCTTAAGCCTACGTGCTTTCTTGATACCAGAACACTTATTTCTGGAATGCTTACTAGCAGCTCAGCGAAGATCAGCAGACAGAAGCCTTCAGAAGATAAGGCACTCCACTCCAGAGAGCCAGCAATAATTACACACATGATTTGAGACCCCTGCTAATCACATATAACTTGGCCATTTCCTTCTCTTTGCCTGAAACTGATTTGTTTTGTGTACCTGGTATCTGCTCAAAAACCCAGGCACTGCCCTAAAGAACCAGCAGATTTATTTGTTTTAACTTTTATACCATTCTTGGGCATTTAATAGAACAAAACCAAAAAACCTTAACATAGGATAGACCTTTCTAACTGTTGTAATTTTACAATTAAAAAGGGGGCAGAAATAGCATTTGGTAACATCCAACGCAGCTGTAAGGCAAATTACTGTTATATATATTTAACAGGCTAAGCCCTCTCTCTGGGGAACAACCTAGTAAATAGTTGATACACCACATGTAGTCATGGGTTTGTACATACCTACTGGCTATAGTTCAAATTGTTTAAGGATGGTAACTACACAGACGTTATTCAAACAGAGATTAAGTTTACCCATAAACGACTACGTAAACAGAATTTTCACCAAAATCAGGTTGTTCAGGACACAATGCATGTTCCTTCAGTGAAAGCTTTGCTTGATCTGAACCAAAGTCACTGAAGCAGAGGACAATTTTGCTTCTGTTCTCAAAAGGTCCAGCTCTAACAAGCTGTTCACATCTGCCAACCTGCTTAGGCAGATTTTTTTTTTTTTAACTTGGGAAAATTTCCCTGAGTGGGGTACAAGAGTTCATTGTCTTCTAATGCCTGCTTTTCTTCCTTTAAATATCACTCTACCTCCAGCTCCTCTCCACCAACCTCTTCCTCCTGTCTTCAAGTCCTTCCATAAATCACTCATCCGAAATCTCCTTAGCTACAGAACCCTCTACCCCAACAGGAAAGCCTAACTACCACAATAAAGCTAACAAAACATTGGATATACTGTTTATTACCTCTAAAAACTTGTCTTGCTCCTTTCTTTTGCTTGCCACCATGTCATAACAGCAATTTTCCTGGAGCTTGGAACTTAGGAGCATATGACTGGTGCTTTCCAGCACAGCTAAACTGTGCTTTCAAATACCCCCAAGTCTGACAAAGAGAAGTCAAAGAAACATCCGTATTTTCTTTGCCATTCACAGCTGGCATACATGCTGCCCCATCAATTGAATACACTGAAATTTTAAACAGTTTGGAAAAGCCTGATAAAAAATTCAATGAGGCAGTAACAACATGCTCTTGGAAACAGCGCTCACAGTATTTTAAGAGTTTAAGAGAGATGACTCCTGCACATAAACAGAAGACTGGAAAAAAAAACAGTTTTCAGTGATTTGGTGTTTAGATGACTTTGAAGCACATTTCAATTCTGGCCAGGCTCAGAGGGCTGAGATGCCTTTGCATTTCAATTAACATTTGCCAGTGACAAAGATTGTCTCAAGTCTTACAAAATAATTTTTTACCTGCAGTGATCTGCCAGGCGGACCCTTGCAGTGCTACCCTTTTCTCAGCAATAGCCACCATGTTACCGGAATGAGCAAGTCCTTCCAAAGGATTTGTTTCTGTTACCATCTCTTCTTCCTCCTCCTCCACCTCCTCTACACCATCATCTCTCTCCAGCACATCTTCTTGTTTCTCTACAGTCTGCCCTTGATTTTTAACCTGATTTTCTTGCCTGGCCCTCCACTGTAAGCTCTCTATAGTGTAAATTGGCTGTTCACTGCAGTCTGAAGAGAGGCCTGGACTGGACAAAGGGCCACCTCCTTCCGTGTAAACAGAAGCGAGATAGAGAAGGTTCTTCCGCGAAGAACGTGGCAAGCGAGGTCTCATGATTGTGAGGATCCTAGAAAGAAAAAGGGCAATGTAAAAGTCTTAAAAGCAAAAAAGATCCCAGATAAAGGCTTATCAAGCTGAGCAGCCTTTTACATGTGAGTTTTCTCCAGGACAGCTCGCTCATTATCTCCTCTAACAGGCAAATCTGATTATTCCCTGGTGGGTGGATGCTGGAATACTCCCTCTTTGTGATTAAAATTGAGGACTTGGGATACTTCTAACTGAATTCCTGCTTTGCTGTTTTCATGTGAAAAAGTTACCACCCGTGCTAAATTCATATTTCCTGTATAAGCAGTCACATCTCTGCTACCAAGTCACTTTTCTTCTGACCAGGTTGCTGCTTTAATACTTCCCCAGATAACCTCCGCTTTTCATCTCCTCCTTCTTCTCCTTGTAGAATCAATGGGGAGATGAGCAGCAACAAGCAGGGCTTTATATGCACCTGCCACAATTTCTACTAGATGCAAAGATAGGGAAGGGAACACAGCTATAACTCAGCATATCACAAGGGGGCTGGCCAAAGCTGTTACAGAGCACTGTTTGCTGTCCCTTTTCTAGGTCACAGGATCAAACTTACAGCTGAAGAAGGTGTGGGGTTGCCCAGCAGGGAGCTTCCAAGCAATTATCAGTCAGTCTTATCCACTGCAAAGGAACTTTATGGAGGAACAGCTCCTTCGCGGACACCTGTTTGTTACAGTGTTGTCTTTTCTTCCCTTCAAAGAAGATAATGAAAATAACAAGGTGCTCAAAACTCATTAAAGATATGCCCTTCATCCTTTTGTATTTTTACTGGAACACTGATCCTCAAATAAGCTGGCATTTCAATCCAAGTCCAAGACTAGATGTACTGACCAAATACATCGAGGTTGTTACAAGGGACTTGCCAATGCACTGACAGCTAGCTTAGCTCCACAAGACATGACCACAGTGAGGTGCAGACGTTCCCAAGCTGGTTCTGTGCCTGCCATCCCAGACAGGAATGCCACAAGATGTGTTTGTACAGTATTGTCCCAAATAAATGCAGTACACTGCTTCTGGGACCCAAGATCATTCCAGATAGCACTGCAATGAGTAGACTTAACAGCTGGGAACTACTACTATTCAGGGATCTTGGTACATAATAGACATGTGCAGTGCTGACTGAAAGCATCAAACATTAACCCATGACTGCCACAGATACTGGCAAAACTTTGGTGCAGACTGAGCCAGACTGGGAGAGGACAGAAGAGGTGGCAAAATTAATCAGCTAGAAACCTCCTCAGGGATACACTATATCGCAGCATAAAAGTCCTGTTAACAGAATTCCTGAGACACACTTAGAATAATTAAAGCTCTTCTGTGCCCCTGTCTCTGGAGTGAAACATACAGTTTGCCAATTCTAAGGAGTTAGGAACAGAAAACAAATTATTACTTATTACTTTTGTGTAAGTTTAGAAGGCATGAAAATCCTGTGATAGGATTAAAAAAGGACAGCAGGACTATATAAGTATCTTGAAAAGGCAGGCTTCTGTTAAGTGAGGAAAGAACTGGGAACAGCGAACTCATAACAGGTTGCGTATGACATCTTTATTTGTTATCTCCTACTGTTATCTTCTACAAGTACTAGTATGTGGAAAAAATAGCACTTAAGTGCCTGATCTTTTCATGGGAGAGATTGGCTTTTCCTATCTTGAGGAGACTGCAGCGAAGTTAGCAAAAAATTGTAATTGTTATTGACAAGAAATGCATGACTTACATAAGCTGCAGGTTGAAAAGTGTAAGAAATGCAACAATAAAAGCTCTACTTTCACATGACAAAAATGTAATAATTAGGCTATTGCACTTTCCATCTAAAGGTCACACCACTCTCCCAGTTTTTGCAATAGTACAGAAGAGACTTGTACACACAGGAATTCCAGATATACTCACCAGCATTTACTTTGGCAATGCCAGTCAGCATCTCAGAAATCCAGTTGATCAAGAACTGAGGCCGCAGTTCTGAAGAATCAGAACATTCCTTCAACTCCATAAACATTTTCTCTATTAGGATCTGTGTAAAACTTCGGGAGAGGAGGCCTGTCAGCAAAGGCTGCCAAAAGCAGTAAAAGGTCTGAGGAATTTTGAACTGCCATACCTCTTTATTTGCTGCAATAAGAAGAAAAAAAAAAAAGACAACCCCAAAATCACTGTTTCGTCATTTTTCATGAACCACAGGTGTGACACTTTTTCCAAACTAAAGTAGTTTGTTCTGAGATCACTGGTTCCACAGTATTTCCTAGGATCCTCACTGAACCTGGAACTATTATTTTCTTATGTTATTTTCTTATGCTAGGGAAGTAAAATAAGCAGCAAATTAATAATTAACACAGCAGCTCAATGAAAGCAAAAAATACAATGCCTGATCTAATCACATGGTAAACCACAGGAAAATCTACCTGTTTTGCTACTCCCTTTCCAGTTTCAGCTTATTTCACACATAATGAAGAGCTATTCTGTCTAAAAATATACTGCAAAGAGAAGGCATGTTGAGCAAAACAACACAGAATTAAAAAGCTCATAAATTTTTCCTACTGTAATATAGTCACAGAAATTTGAGGATCTTTCTTGGAAAGTTCTTTGGCTGGTGTTTCCAAGAGGTCCCAGGGAAATACACAAATTACTAAGTTTCATTGCCTCTAGGTACTTAATTCTCTTGCAGAAAATCCATGCAACTCCCCACTTATGGGCAGCAGCATGGAACTAAATGCAACTAGGTGAATAAGGCTCAAAAAAACCCCATTTAGATTTGCTTCAAAACTTCAATGTAGGAAAGAAACTAGTGGGAGTCCATGAAGTCAGTTAACTACTGCAGCTAAGGGCAGAGATGCAACCTTCAAAAGATGTTTTGGCCAGGCAGCATTCAGTGCTGAAGAGCTATCCTTCCATGGTAAGAGATTCATGCAAAAGCAATAGCTAAGCATGGCCGTAAAGGGGTCTGGAGAACAGGTCAAAAGATGTTTGGGATATACGGAGGATATATATGAAGGACCCGGATATATGAAAAACATGCAAAGAATTATAGATTTCAATATAATGAGAAAAAAAGAACAGACTTAGACATAACACTAGCTACGGACTTTTTACTTATGTGGTGCCCAAAACACTAACCTTCATACTTGATATTTAGCATCTTCAGACAATCCATCTTTGGGATGAGAAAACCATCACTGAGAAGAGCTTCAGCCACTGTCTCCCTAGAGCAATCAGAGAGTCTTATTAATGCCACTTACTCCTTTACCTATCAAAACACCACTTGCAGCAGTTCTGAAACAAGTTTGAGAGCCAAATACCTGGAACTATGAGGAGGTGATGTAGCTTGTTGTAAGGCCCTAAAATTGTGTGCCAGTTTTGGGCTGAGTATATCCCACTAGACTTGGAGGGAACAGGTGGTTGTGCTAACTGAACAGAACCAGAACCTTGAAAGAAACATTTCTGCTCGAGTTGCAGAGGCAAGTATCTTGGTATTTCAAAAGCACAGGAACATTTGTCATAAACATATCAAAAGCACAGGAACGTTTATCATACTGAAATACCTATGGTTTGCAGTATAATTCAAGTCTTCTGCCAGCAGGCCAGCCAAGATTTGAGGACCTCTGACCCACAGAGCTAGGTTAAATTTCAGGGGAAAAGCCAACCTCGTTGACTTCCTGGCAAGGCACACCTTAAGGTGCAATTCACACAGCTGTTCAGCAGATAAGTTGCAGTAGGGTCACAACTGCTCTTCCTTACAGTACCTACAGCTCTTTTTTGGATGTCTCCTGCCATTATAGCTATCCTGCAAACTTCAGATAGTTGGACAGCACTGAATGGCCCAGCTCGAGGACCACTTCATCTCCTATTAGGCTGGCTTAATGCAAGTGGAAGGCTGAGGAGACCCACATAGGTAGGCTGAACTGATGCTTGAAGGTAAAATACAGCAAAAGGGACAGAAGTAAAATTCCCACAACTACCCCAATATCCAGCCATGGGATTCTCTTGAGTTCTTCTGTTCATGCTTCTATCCATTAGCTTCTCTAGCCATGCAAAGATACAGCACTAAAATAAACACTTCTCAGAATAAAAATCAAGATGACTATTTTCAAACACTGAATAAATTCCATAGAAACAACTGCTTTTGCTATCAGATTCATTTGATTTGGAATGGTAGTACCCATGCCAAACATCGCATATTTTGGTAAGCTATGGACAAGAAAATTTGTCTTCTCCAATAGGAGGAAACAATAGGGGTGACTTCCAAATCTAAACATCCAGGCACGACTTGGATCCGACACAGGATTTTTATAAATACAAACAGCAGCTGAAGATCTCAGAGTGCAGAAACAACACACACAAGCGCTAGACCACTTTGTCATAAGTAAATGATGTAGTGGGAGATCAGAAGGCAAGTGGTAGAATGTAATTTGTTTCTAAAAGCAAAATCCAGTTTCAATCCTCTTCTCTGGAAACTATTCCGGCATAAACCATTATTCCTACATGCAACGACTGATCATCACAACTATTAAGGACCTCTCCATGCAGATGGCAGTTTCAGTAGAGAACCATTTAAGCAGAAGAACATCTGACTAAAAAAGGTCCACTGGGTCAGTTCTCTGAAACAGACAGCAGAGGATCCTTTACAATTAGCTCATTTTGCTTTAGGTCTAAAGGAATCTTCTGCCCCCTCCACAATCCAAATTACAGGGTATGTCGATACAGGAAATGAAAGGCTTTACTCAGAATTACATAGGCATTCTAAATTAAAAAAGCACTTTCATAGGTCACTTGACATATTCAAAAGAACTCATAAACTCTGTTATCTCTGAGTCCATAATCCAAGCTTCTGAATCTAATGAAGTCACAACCTTGTCAACACATTCCATGCCAGCCTTCACCCCTCCCACATGGTCGATCTTCCATGAGTGACCTAAAAAAAAAATTCTCTCTTAACTGAAAGCAAGCAGCTGAGTCCTTAAATTAAGCACCTTCAGAAATACATAGGAGACTGCAGGAAGAACCCTGTCTTCAGCCAAGAAGGGAAGTACCATTAGTCAGTCCTTCAGAAAACTTAAGACAGAGGCCACTGGGGAAGCACTAGCCCAGCTGCATTTGTGATACATGACAGACTCTATGTGACTGAAAGAGCAAAGAGTCACAGCATTTCAGGACAGATATGAAGCAAAGCAGAAACAATTACCACAATGGTATTCAAAAACACTAGGAACCTCTGTGTTCACTTATATAAACATCTACACACAAACATATGTCTAAAGCTTGTGGAGTTTCTTTGGGTTTTTGAGTAAAAGAGTGACTCGATTATAAGTACTTGCACACTCATTGCTGCTTTGGTAGCATAATACTATTCATCTTCTCAAACAAATATCATGGTGCAGAATGGACTGGTAGCAAGGGCTACAGAAGATAGAGCTTTTATTGAGTTTCTGAAAAAGTAAGAGAATCTGTGACCATTCACATAAGAACATTTAATAGAGAATTGCCTCTAAAGATAAATCTGCACTCCATGCCATATCACTGTATTTATGTTGCTATATAAAGACTAATGGAAACCAGAGTGTGATAGGGTCTCATTTGCAATACAGTTAACATGCTATTATTAATAAACAGAAGGTACATGTATGAATCCATTTTGGGCTCTCAGAGAAAATGCGTAGGTGGTTCTAGAATGCTGGATATAGGCACAGCCTTCCATTAACTATAAATACAACAGCTTGTGTTCTTTAAAAGTTGCATCTGGATGCTGGAATAAAAATAGCATGAGATGAAGTAGGCACTCAAGGATGAAATACAGGAGTGCTAAATCCAAGAGTTTGCTCTACCATTCTGAGGCTTCCAACTCACCTCTGTCTCCCCCTCCACAATACAAATGTACTTGTGATTTGCCTGACTGTTCACCATGCTCAGCCAGCTCAACTTGGTTCTTACCAGGATTTAGCATTTGTCCATAACGACACTTGTTATATGTAGCCTAGCGTAGCACTTGTTCAGATGCAATGTGGCATTTGTCCTGTTATTACTCTGAAATGAGCAACACAGTGGAAATCTTCCAACCGAGGAGAGCTTCAGCAGAAAACACAGATTAATTGAAAAATTATTTTCTCTCTCAAGCAAAACTGTATTATTCAAGCAACTTTCTAATGTTAAACAATGTAAAGGCCTGGAATGGGATTCTTTACTAAGCCACCTGCATGTTGCAAAACAAGTAACTGTATGCTATCAAGATTCTTCCTTAAGGATCCAGACAGGAGAACAGGGCAAGTTGGGTTTTGAGACCTGGCTACAGGAAGCAAACTCCAAAACTTCCTGAATAGTCATCATGGCTCCATCAGCAGGTTGCCAAGAAGACAGCAAGAGACAAGTGGTTAGTGGGATTTTCTTGCTTTTCCCCTCCCTCCCACCTCAACTTTGACACAAAGTCAGGTGTTTTTAAAAGCGTAGTGAAGGTAGCGATCTCACTGCAGTGCTAGTTCCAGCCTTTGCTATAACATATACATAAGCTTGCTGTGGGGAAAAAGAAAAAGGAAAAAAAAAAAAAACAGCAACTGTATGCTTGTAGGTTTGTTTTAAATAGCTGGTCTGCAGAAAGGACACTCCAGCAAGGTTCAAGATGTGAATTTTTATTATTTTTAAGTCTTAAATTGATTTTCAAGTAAATAATTTTCAGCCTGCAGGATTAAAATGGGGAAAGTAGGCATAAAGAAGGCTTAAATAAGGGGAAGCATGGCAGCACCTGGCCTACATTGCTTGAACGAAAACCAGAGATTGAGAATGGATAAAGTAGCTCTTTGGTATGACAACAGTCAACAGAAAACAACTGTACCTCAATACCCTGCTAAAATCTGTTTCCAATGGCTGCTGCCTCACATTCCACAACTGTGGAGCTGAGCCCACATTGACACTCTGGTGAAATATTCCCATTACATCATTATTACTTCTGGTACTTCACAGAGAGCTTTGCAGAAGTGCAACAAAACCCATGCAGAGCTACCACATGATGCATGACTGGATCTTGCCCAGAGGCCTGGAAACTAACACCACCCCCAGCAGCACCCAGCACCAGAGCCATGCTCAGCACTGGGTTTCCAGTTGTGCTAGCTAGAATGAAGGTGGTAAAGGTTAAGGGTCACCTATTCAGTTTTGAAGAAAGGTGTCAATCAAGTCCCCTGTCCCACTTCTTTCTTTATCTCCTGATAAAGGAATGAGAAACTCACTGGGAGAAATAATAAGCTGAGTGACCAGACTTCCACATTGTCCTGTAACACACGCCCCCTCCCTACTTAGGCTCTGCCAGCTCTTCGGAATAAGCCCATGTGTGAACATAGTCAAACCACTCTGCACAAATCAAGGAAAATGTTTCATTACAGCAGCTGGCCTATCTGACATCTATTGTTGACAAGAGCAGGAAAATACAGAAAAGTACCAAAACTAGCAGTATGTAGCCTGACACCCAGTTTCGGGGGCTTTCTGGAGCTAACACTGCTTAAAGAAGCAAAAGGAGTGGAGAGAGAGCCTGTAAAGTAAAAGGAATAAGGGTTGGAAACTCACTGCCAAAACTGATCTGATCCAGAAACATGTATGTTTCCTTTCCACAAGTTCAGTCCAAAGTCTGGAATTGTGGAACCAATACTTACTGGTAATAATACACACACACACACACAAGATTCTTGCCAGAACTTCTCTCCGAACAGTGAGCACACAAGGCAGTTAAATGCAACTGCAAAATCTCTCTGCAGTACCATCACTACTGAAGGGTTTTGGTCTTTGCTAGTTTTGCAAGCTGTGAGTTGTGAAAGAGTCCCCCATCCTGGGCTGCTGTAAGTGGGGGACTTCCCTGCATATCAGAGCAGCTATTTTATTGAAGTTGCCTGATCATTAGGAGTCACTCAGGACACCATGAAACAGCTAACAGAAACAAAACCCACAAGACAAAAAAAAAAAAAAGTATTTTTATAGTCACAGAAACCAGATTCCTCCTCTCTGTTTTCTTTGCCTTATTTGAAGCCTGGGCTTAAGGGAACTATCAAAAAAGCCTTATTCAATGTAGCATAATGCAGTGAAGACAAAGTTCTTATGAAAGCGTTACTGCCAGATTACTTAAGAATGACAGATACCCTAGAGATACTATACCATCAAATTTTTTTGTTGGAACAAAGGACCCGGTGATGCTGTTTTTCACAGATACTTGCCCTATCTTTGAAGTTTCTTTAGGCCACACATAGCACCTGAGTTTTATACCCTTACCTAAGTTACTGGGCTGGAATTCCAAACAAAGCTCTTGGAAAACTGACAGTGAAAGCTGGAAATGACATCAGGCTCCTAAGACCTAGTTCTAGGACTTTCCCAGATAGATGACAAACTTTTAAAACCGCTTTAGTTTTGGAAGCAGCACCCCCTAAGCACACCAATTCATTGCTGCCCTGTAATTCATGCTATCACATACACCTGAAGAAGGAAAAATGTAAAACCAATTCTATCCTACTGCCACTTTCCCTTCTAAAGAAATTACTGCAAAGCAGTGAAATTCCCAACACACTGTGCAGGAATTAAATGTTTCATTTATAATCTACAGCTATCCTAAAATATTTCCACAAGTAGATCTTTTTGAAAGACAGGAGTAGTCTAACCCTTCCATTTGACTCGCCAACATGTAAGGACACAAGCCTACACATTGCAGTAACAACACTGAAGCATCTTAACTACTCATCCACAATAACAGCTTTTCAGAAGAAAAGATTCACGCACAGGCACTTTTGGACTGACAAAACATGACAACTGCACAGATTCCTTCCAAGCTAGAGGTGGTGTTGGGGGCGGGATGGTTACTTTTCAAGTCTTCTCTACATCTGCCAGACCAGAGTTTCCTGTAGGAACAGTAATGCAAAAAAGGCTGCCACATCCTGGTGACAGCACCCTGTACAGAACAGCATTCCACTGAACCAGGTTCAAGCAGCTTAAAGCCACGCTTGAATTCAAGCCTGTTAAACTGTTTCAGAGATGCCAGGCTGATTTCAGGAAAGCAAACTTTTGCTTACTTGCCCACTGGCCAGATACACCCCAGGCAGGCCTACGCAGGCTCCCTCCATTATGCTGCTCTTGGAGTATTTGCTATTTGCTCAGGAGCACCCATCAGAAGCAATGGGAAAAACATAACCAAGCCTATTAGCAGAAAAGCTAATTATGACAAGCTGTGGTAACTGTTGATGCTGTACAGCTTGATGAGGACAACAACTTTGAAACACCGATGCCTCAAAGGCCACAAATACAGTCACTAGCATCTAAACTCTAAGTTTGAGTATTCTGGGGGAAGATTTAATCTGATAGATGAAGGAGATTCTTGATTCTTTTGGAAATCCACACAATCAGGGTTGAATGTACTTTGTGCAGCTGCACAGGGCAAATAGCAAGACCTGATGCAACAGGTGGTGCATACAAAGATGATGACAAATAACTGCTAGAATGTGATTTAGCATGCTTTCATGGGATACCACAAGCACGTTTTGCAGAATCAGTGCACAGCAAGCAAATCAACAGCACGGTATTTTCCAAATTAAGTACTTGTTTTGATCATATACTTACAGGACAGTACTGTTATGAAAACTAAGTTTTGCACAGACATAAACTAATAGGAGAGCATACCAACAAGGCAGCATTAGAAAGATCCCAAATAGATCATCATCTTAAGATCTTCACTAATTCAATTTTCCTGTGTGGAAAGGGACTTCCTACGATCTTTTACCTGTTACCAATGCATTACAACTCTTGCCTGAACATTCCCCGCAAAACCCATTTCACATAAGATGAAGTCTATTATTCTCACTCGAACCTTTCAAAATCCTTGTTTTGTACTGTGGCAGCCTGTTTCCCCTCTACCATGTAGCTGATGCCAGGTTCAAATAGCTATTTATATATAAAAGCAGCTGCACTTGGTCCATTCATGTTCTGATAGTGGCTAACAGAGGATGCTTAGGGAGAGATTATCAGAATCACAGGTAGGTACAATGGCTTGCTTCCACTAGTACCTTCCAACATCTAGTAACAGACAGTTTAAGTGATACAGAAGTCCCACGTTTAGTAAGTTATGCTTCTCATTACAGAATGTTCATGCCTACTTGCTCATTACTCCATGCTCAGCAACCGATGGGCAATGCCACTAAGGTGCAAGTCTCTTCCTCGGGGTTTTCTTCTGGAACAACATCTCATAACCTCTTAAACTAATCAGCAGCTTGTACGGCATATATATTTATATTCAAAACATCAGGAGTTACAGCTCGTATCTGTAACGCGATACTCTCGCCCCTCTACAGAGTTACACTGATAACATTTCTCAGGGCCGGACAAGATCTTCAAGCAAATTTATATAGTAATAATACAGTCTCAACACACTGGGCCCTAGAGGCCCTGTAGTAATAGAAAGTATAGAAGAGGCCAAGTATTGCCCTGCAATTTTGAAGAATTCTAAAGGTTACTGTGAAATCAAAGTCTACGCAAGGTTGTTGGGAGGGCTTTTGAAGACACTGAAGATGCTGACATGCCTGGGGCCAGCATAGCTAAGTCAGGGACAACACCTTGGAGACCATCTGGCACAGGAAACATTACTCATTAACAGAGATTAACAACTCAATCCTCAAAAATGTTGAGGAAATCAATCGTTTTCTCCATGATCAGCTGAACAACACAGTGAAAACGTAGTGCAAGAGGTCTGTAGGCCCAGCTCTGCACTGTACCTTCCACCTCAGTTCCTTATCAGAGATGTACCTGTTCTCTTGCATCAGGTCTTTGATCTGAGCCAAAATCCAGTCCACTTCTGAAGAGGAGTCGGACCACAGTTCTCGAGATTTTGAAACAGACTGCACAGTCTGCATAACCTGAGTGAAGGAAAAATCCAAGCATTAACAGAAAATACGCTCTAATAGTGAACAGAAAGGCATTGCTATGAAGAGAAGATGCACACGCCATATGTACTTCATCAACAGTACTTCATCAACAGTACTTCAAAAAAACCTCATAAAAGTTCCCCTTCTAGGGGTATATTAAAAGTTAATATAAGCCATGTCATACTTGGAAAATGCCTGAATTAAAAAGGCAGCAGCACCAAGGAGTCGCAGTCCTGGCATCTTCATTCTGGTTCTAAACCTTGCTCTCCCTGACTTCAGCACAAATCAGGACAGACTCATTTTGAATCATTAACTCCACACGTGGGGTGGGGCATGAGCTTGCGTACTCAGGACAAGGGTTTGCCAGTCATATTACACATACAGTAGATCAAAACGTCAAATCAACACAGCCATCTAGGCAACCTGTGATCACCTGAGAGCATCTGATGAGTAGGAGCAATACACAAAACAGACTACCAGGTTGTACCAAGAATGGAAGAGAGAATACTGGAGGTTAGTACTCCTCTGAAAGTTAGTTATTTCTTGGTTTGATATATACCTTACCTGAGTCTGTCCAGCAAGGTAAGACACGCCTTCTACTTATGCTCACAACCTACCCAAGTGGCAATTCTACCATCACCACCTTTGATAAAATATCAGCACGAAGCATGTTACATCACCAACAAGTATCTAGCAGATTCTTTTTGGAAGACAATAACTACTGAGAGAAAGGAAGAAATTATTTTTCCTGCCAGGTAGGAATGCAATGTAAAATGAGACTGGAAAACCAAGGCGTCATTTTCAGGACTGTGATTAGCTCTCTTAACCTATATATGCAAAGCTACCACTGCATGCAAAAGATACTTCAGATGACAAATCAAGTATAAAGACATGACCTAAAGTGACTAAAGAACCTCTAGCCTACCCATAGGAACAATCAGACAACAAAGTACACAGCCCCCATGACAGAGTTTATTTTGGCCTAGTTTACACTTTACAGATTTACATAAACTTTTAAGTATACTAAGTAGTTAACAAAATAGCTAGAGAATTATCTGGATCAGAGAGCGTACAGTTACACTGTTATAAAGATGACTTAGGTATAAGTGGTTCTCCTTACATGAAAGAGATTAAAGACAGACCATACATTTATGCAGGGAGACTCACAGCACTGTCTCCCTGCAGGGAGACTAGCAAAGACACTGTACCACTCTTCCTATGCCAATCCAGGGTGTTTAAATATAAGCCTAGAAAAGCTTCAAGTAGTATTTTTTTGATATTTGGAACATTCAATTGCTGTCATGGTTAAGAAATCATTTGGATGCACCAAACCATCTGCCCTTAAAGGGCACAAGAACAAGCCCATGTCATTTTTTTCAATCCATTTCTAAGTGTCAGAGATTTTATCAGCTATCATCAGTTTTAAATTACATGTCTATTGTTTTACAGAACAGAGTTTGAGAGGCCAACAAAGGACCAATATGCTTGCATCTCTACAAATGACTAGCAGTAGTTATTAATGCATAAAAGTATTATTATTTTTTTTATTAAAGACAAACTTTGGTTAAGAACTTGCAGGTTATCAGCCATAAGGAGTAACACTCCTTGCTGCTGACAGATCTCAGCAAGCCCTTTGCCCACCCTTACTCAGTGTGCCTCAGAGCAGCAAAAATGATATATTAAAAGAAGCTATATCCACAACACATGGATCTACAGAGCATTAATTTTTCACAATTCAGCTGTATTTTGTCAGAGCTGACAGAATTAGAAGTGCACCACTGGAAATTATTCAACAAGAAAGGCAGCCTTACAGGGTGAACAGGGAAATTTCAAAAGCACAGTATGCAGCATTCAATTAAACTGAGGCGTATGACACAGTTTACTCTTCTGTCTGTTTTTACACCATTTTGATGGGATAAGGAGAGTTTCACATGAGCTTCAAAACAAAAGTTTTGAAATTACTCTTTAGCAATTGACCGACTACTCCTTTCCCCCATTCAACCCTGGCCAGTTTAAACTTTGAAGTTGCATTTTCCTATTCAGCTTGAAATACTCCCCTCTGTTCTGTTAATATTTAACATATGAGGTCACTCACAAATTAATTTGTCTCCTTCACGATGCAAAGCAAAACGTACAAAATAAGCCAGTACCAACTACAGAAAGGGAAGGATGAACAAAAGAGGATCACCTATATACTCCAAAACCAAGACAACAGAGGAAACATGTCAATTTTCAGTAAAATTCCTGACCTTAGTTCTCATTGCTGATTAAGTCTACGCTTCACCTGAATATTAGCACACTTTCTCCTTTAGCCCCTAATGATATTAATCAAAATAAAAGTGAGAACAGCTCCCCAGTAACAACAGTGTGTTGGTGAGGTCGTATCCAAAGACATTTTATGGAGTCTGTAAGCCAGCTCTCACCACATCTTAAGAACTGCCCCATTATTAAGAAGGGGAAGCTGAGCAGAGAGAGATTTCTGGAGCAACTTATTCACAAACCTGAACTGCAGCACCTCAGCCACGGGGTGACTGCAAAAATATACAATGGATGACAGAAAACGTGGGCTAGTGACTTCTGAATGACAGGTCTCAATTTCCAGAGACACTAGGATGAACGAAAACAAGCTGAGCGCTATCCACCTGGACAAGGAAGACTTGGGATGTCCAACAAGTACACATCTTATTTATAAACATGAACAAAGTGTTTGCATTAGAAATCATCACAGTTCAAATTGCTTGTTCTCTGCAGTGAAGCTTTACTTTGGTAAGCCATGTATGACAAGACTAGGATAGACATCTGAACAATGAACTAACCAAGTCTCTCACTGCACATGCAGCAGTCACAGGTCCCCTATGGGCTACACACTAGACAACAGCACTACTTTAGAAAAGAGTACACAACCTGGCAAGCATTGGTAGCACTTGGACACCAGCGTACTGTCACCTCTGCAGCACTGATACAAATACCACTTCTGTATCACTGACGCTTCTGGACAGATTCTAACTGTGGGAGGACGCTACAGGGAGAAAAAAGGGATCCCTGCAGTTACGTGAAATAAACTCCTGGCACAGCAATTTAGTCATGCTAGCACCCAGGTATTTCAGATGAGGCCTGGCCAAGAGCACCAGTTCTTCATTTTGGGCAAAAATGAAGAGAAGACTTACTGCCCTGAGCAGGAAATGGGAAGAACTAAAAATGCTAACGATCAGACTGCACTTACCCGAAACTGCTCATTCTTGTAGGATATCAGCACATCTCTGACTTTCTCTAGAAAAAACCATAAATATACAGTTTAAACAAGGAATGGATCAACCATATAAAGGAATTTTGCACCTGGGCAAGCTGCTTAGTTCTGCTGAGTATACACTCAAGGAAGACATAAGTCAAATGAAGTCACAAATTCCAATTCAGACAACACTCTGAAGACTCCTACAGCTCCCAGACTTTTCCAGCAACATAAATTTTATCAAGTAGTGTTGAACCAGGAGTTCAGTATTTTATCACTAACAGTGCCCAAAGACAGGCAAATTGGATAAATCCAGACACCTCAAAAAAAAATCCCTAAATAGATCAGTTTAGGAAGAAATTGTTCTGATTCATATTTGATGTTCTGTTCTGATGCATATTTGTATTCCTTATACTTGCATTTTAAATCTATTGCAACAGCACTGTGGCTATTCTCAAACCAACCATATCCTTATTGGACTTTACTAAACTTTAATTTACCATCTACAAGAAACGTCCTTTCTCTATCTGTGTATCGCTTTTACGATACCTGACATAGCACCATCTTTCAAAACACTTCACCACTCAGGTGTCATTGTCACCTGCTATCAGGATGCCCACCACCCCGTCTCAGCTAGATAAAACGTCAGATGCATTTGAACTGTAGGACTTGTATACCATTGCCATTCCATTACTCTGGACATATAAATCACAGAATCTACTGTATCATTCTGTGGTTTTCTCTTTCAGCAACTGGGGGTGGGCTGTTCTTTTTTTTTTTTTTAGGGTAGCCAGGAAGAGGAAGGAATAGCACATGCTTGGATCTCATCCAGCATGAAGTCAGACAGAAGCCCAGACATAACTCTCTGACAAGAAAAGTGGCAAGTGCTGCTGCATTCCAAAGTTTAGTACTGCCTCTAAGTTTGGATTGTTCTAATAAATTCTGTATTAAACTCAAAGCGCACAACAAATTAGCTAGTATTTTCTGGATCACAGCTACTGTATCTATGCATGAGTCTGTGACAAACAAATCTAGAAAAGACTTGCAACAAATCCATAGAAACTAAAGCCAGAAAGATCATTATAGTCACCTAGTGTGACCTTCCAGGAAGCAATAAGGGTCACTTCAGCATTTCTGCACACTCTCTGGACCTTGGATTAGGCTGCTGTAATCTGTTGGATGAGTTACCCCCCATAAGCATGCCATGTTTTGCCAGAAAAAATTCTGACTAATTTGGTTTTACTGTTTGAGGTACTGTTTGATACCTCACATGCCTCAAACTTGCACACCAGCCATCTAATCCGAACTCCCACTTCCTCCAATAAGTCATTCAAACTAGAAATCCACTTTGAGAAAAGCTCCTTATTTGGGTTTCAAAGACTTCTGGTAATAGAAAAGCAACCACTGGTACAGTTTACCAAAGTTTTCCTATTGTTTTGCACTTTGTATCTTAGATTATGTCCAGGCTGAGAGACTGAGTTACCTCAGTGAAATTTTTTTTTTTTTAAATGCTACTGGCAGCTAATGATTTTTCTGTCCGCATGCAAAGTATTTTGAAACTGGCTGAACTGCCTTTATCCTGCTCTTGCTCAAGTTATGAATCTACAGAGTTCTGAGGGCTACAAAAGGACCATAGCCTTATTTGTCAGTAGCAGCCTCAATACCAAAACTGTGGCTGTCAAGACACTACAACTAATTTTTACAATATTTGGTCCTAAACCATCCCAGTGTAACTGTTGCTACTGATTAGGATACTGTATATTCAATAGAAGTAAAAGATTTTATGCTACAAATTCAGTGAGCTAATACCAAAAAGGTCAGTCACCCCAAGAATCCACCAAGGCCCAAAGAGGAATCCCACAACCTGAGCTGAATCTTTATGCATTGTCAGGGCTAGAAGATGACACCTTTAAACTGCTTCCTCTAGCATGGGACATATCTAATCCTTGTATCTGTCATTGTTCCAGGGACACCTACCATGAAATTCCTTGTGTTTCTGACAGGCCTCGTGCTGTGGAGTTTGAATCTCCCACGCATCATTGTCCAGCTCTGCATTTGCTTCCACCCCTTCCTGCTCCTCTTCCTCTTCCTCGTCCTCACTTTCTTCACACAAGTTATTGCCCAGCTGACGGCTCCAATACGTCTTGCGTAGCCACTCCAGCACGACATCACAACCTAAGGGAGAACAGAAAACATTCTCTTCTCAGTGAGGTTTTCTTTGTTATTGGAAAAAAAAAAAAAAAAAAAAGGTGGCACATTGCTGGCTTGCGTTGTGAAGAAGAGATGCTGTTAACAAGTTACCAACCCTGAAATCACATACAACTCCATTGCTGGTGAACGAGTTTTAAAAAAAGAAACAACAAAAAACACAACAAAAAAACCCCACAGCCCAGTATCACAGGCCTGATAACACCCACCCACTGTCTTTCTGGCAACAAAAAAGATTGGACACTGCTACAGCACTACACCTCGCCCAAGCTAGGCCAAATTTAAGCAGAAACTAAGTCCCAGCAGTGGCGTTCTGATGAGAAAATGAGTCAATTCTTTAGAACCACCATGACGAACATAGTGTCTATAACAATAATTTTTTGTGCAGAGACTACACTAGGCATACATCAGATAGAATGGAAAGAAAACCCCTTTTCTCCCATCACTATTTCACTACCCAACTCAGTTTAAGGAGCCTGCTGAAGGTTATTTAACTGGCTCCTCAGTGCTTAACCCAAAATTCTCGGGAATCCCTTCAAACGCCATGAGCTGGTCATTCATTCAGGCTTGCAGTACCTACTGCATTTCTCCCTAAATGGGATTTTTTAAGAGTCTCAGGTATCTCTAACCCATCAGGAAAAGCATTTACCTCTTTCCCCAAGATGAACTTCCTGTGCTGTAAAGAAGCAAGAGGACCAAACTACTGTTTCCAGTATTTCTTGCAGGGGAAGGAGAAAGTCTCTGAACACCTGCCCTGTGGGGCACCACAGCCTGGAGCCACCAGACACAGTTCAGCTAGCCCCACAGGGCAGCAGCAAACCCTCCCAGTGTCTCACACCACAACTCTCCCTGCCACGACGAGCCCTCTGCCTGCCCTGCAGCGCCCCAAAATCGAGGGAGGGGTGCTCCTCTCAGGGCCTGCAACACTGGCATTGCCACCCCATGCGTGCCTCAGGCCAGGCCCTCCCCATGCCGCCCTCCAGCAGCACTCACCCTTGCGGCACAGAGCCAGCCGTGGCAGCTTCCCATGGGTCAGCTCATGACGGAGATCCACAACCCAGATGGGGATATCCACCTGGAAGAACAGCCATGGGCATCACCCCACAGTTCCCACTGCATCACGCCACGACTGTATGCAGCCCTGTAAGGCTGCAGAGAGCCTCTACCTGGGTGGGAATGGCCTCTTCCAGGCCACTCCTGCACCGCAGTCCTGCAGCTTCCCACTTCAAGGGTGGGCTGAAATCCCCTCCTCTCTGATCCCACTCCTCCTGTGCCCATACAAACTTGGTATTGTACAGTTTAAGTTCTTCAATGTTACTTGCAACAACAGATGTCTTTTTAGACAGAGGTGCTATGTGTAATTTAAGCAGTTAAATTATATTTAAACTGATGAAACATTCTGGATGACAGTTCGTATATCAAAGATGCAAATCATATCATATATAATACTCAAGTCATACACACTCTAAGTTGCACACAATTTTTCCCAACTTTCCTACGGACAACTAACTTTAACTATGCAAGACCTCTATTTTTAAGCTTCATCAGTTTTAAAAGGTGAGAAGCAGCACCTTTCTTAAAAACCCAGGGGAAAAAAAAAAAAATCAATTCATCATTCTCACATAGGGGCCGCAGACAAGGCTGCATATATAGAATAGTCGCAAATACTGCCTGTTCTTCACTTTCAGAACTTGCTGTTCAGACCCAGATATGATGCTTAGTGCAGTTGGCACAAAAGGACTCAAGTTAGTCCTGCTACTACAATTATACCTTGAACCTTCCCTCCTCCACACAGAAGTGGACAAGCTCACCTCAAACAAGAGACCTGAGGTGAAAATGCCTGCAAATGTGATTAAGTGCTTTTTATGTATAACCTTGCTTGTCAAAGACTAGAATTTATAAACTACATATTTAGCTCTTTTTCCATATCTCAGCAGCTAAGAAACAAAAATGTGTGATGTACATGTCAAGTGGGACTATTTACAGGTAAATCAAGACTTTTGATTACACGTTATTCAAAATGCTTTGGTGACCATCAGCCTTTGTTACTCCTAATCTGACTTTAAAGAACAAAGTTTTAGAACTAGTTACATCAAGCCTCTTTAGAACTTTGCAGTTGAAAAGAACTGACATCTACACCCATTATTTTGGTTACAAAAGAATGACACCCCCCCCAACTCCCTCCACCCAGTATTGTTAATAGACAATGCATTTGCTCTCTGTATATACGTAAGTTATTGAGTAACTCTTATTAAATATTTACCTCTCTGGCTAGTTGTCTCAGAGGAATGCTGACCATTTTCTGCTTCCTTTCTGTGATCAAGTTGACAAACCTGCATGCAGGTTACAGAAAAGATAAATTACTATCAAGAGCTGCAGAGAAACGTGGAGGCCCAGAGACAAATCTCCCACATGCTGTTACAGCTCTGCGGTCCCAGAGATGCAAAGTGAAATTAGGCAGCTGAATACTACTACCTGTCCAGGTCTCTCTCTCACAGAACACAGGCCTTCAGAGCCCTACCTTACCAGAGCCAGCCCATAAGAGAGGATGAGCTCATGCGACTTCAATCTGCCAGATGAATCCAGGACCTTGCAACGAATCAGTTCAGCAGTGCAATCCACTGCAAGCGGCATTTTTGGACCATACCTGGAGATAAAGGAAAAGCAGGTGAGCAGTCTCACAGCAGTACACTCCCACTGCAAAAAGTGTGGCTTTCCGGCTACTTTTTGTGCTCTCTGGTACACAACAGCCCGAGAAACTGCATGCAGAAAGACAGCATCAAAGGCTCTCTCCAGAAGGCTCTTATATGGAGCAGTGATTACACGGCTACTCCTAAGCATATGTTAAAGGGGTACTTACCGATATGCTCAGCACATACCCAATACAAGATGCCATACCTAGACTGGTCTTGTTGCAGCAGGGGCAACGCAAACAGGAGGAGGCGATCTGGAGGCCTTGGATACCTCACTGCAGCACTCTGCCTTGAGAAACCAGCCAGTGAACCCGCAGGCACGCAGGGCTTCTGCCTCCCTGAGGCCCACGGGGCCGGCCTACGTCTGGCATGAGCTACATGCCCGAAGCCCACTGCGTGAAGAAGGCGCCCCGCAAGACGGAGCTGCCCGCCCGGCAGCACTGACGGACTGCACACACAACCCCGGCCGCGGAGCAGCACCGGCGGCGGGGGGGGGGGGGGGGGGGGGGC